AGAGAGAGAGAGAGAGAGAGAGAGAGAGTGCTGAGCCAAAGCCAGGTCCCTGCAGAGACAGAGTGGTGGTCTAGTGATCATCTGGGCTCTGTGCTGGCTGTCCATCATATCCCAGGGCTGTCCCTTTAAACACTGCACATGTGTTCTTCATGAGCAGTCTTACGGAGGAGGAGTTTTCCTCTCTCTTTTACAGATAGCAAGTCAGAGCCTTAATGGGGTGAAATAACTCCCATGAGGTAATGAGGCAGATAAAGACGGAAGCGGGATTTTAGCCTAGGTCTGCCAGAATTATATAGGAACCTGAGCTTCCCAGGATGCAATGAGAGGCAGCCTTCCCATCTCCAGCCTGTCCTTCTCGGAGTCCTCCTCATCTGTGGACCATTTTATTGCCAGAACCCCACACAGCCATTGATCTCCCTCTCAGGACAGCTACCTCCGTTTAGACACCTTCCCAGACCTGCCTGTCCATGGCAATAAACCCTGATTCTTTCAGAATTTCATTCCCCGTTTTAAATCATTTTCTTTTTTACCTAAAACATATGTTTTATTCCATCACAGCCCTGCTCTGCCTAAGCTGTTAAAGTCCCCAAGTGCTGTTGATTGTATTGAATGTGTTCACGGAGACTGTTTGCTTTTTAACAAGGGTCTGGTCTTGCTCAATACGGGAATGTTTCACACAAACAAGACAATGCCACCTGGAGCACTTGGCTCTTGAACCACTCCGGGAGGTGTCCAACAGGACATTAGCTTAAAGGAACATTCTAGGTCCTGATATTGGCTGGTTCTCTGTTACTTCGAAAGGAATGTTCCAGAGTCACTCTAGAACCCCTGCCTGGGCCAGAACTTTCTCTCATTTCATCTTGTTTCTCCCATGTTTTACCTCCTGCCCATGTTTCTCATAATCATGTTCAATGTCGGTGTCTATGACAATTGAGTGTTATTGGCACATGGCCATGTCCATCATAGATGTATTCTCTCCAGCTGCCTCCCCACTGCAGCAATAGCCTGGTTACAGCTGAGACCACTTTTTTTTTCTGTAAAGTCCAAAATATTCTGACCCTTTAATGAAAAGTGGGGTGACCCCTGATCTAGGTTGGTAGCTCCATAGATACTCCCCACATCTTCCTGTGGCCCAAAGTAAATCCTAATATTTGGAAAGGAGAAAACAAAACATTATCTCATCTATGTTCACTTGCAAGGAAAAAAGATAGGTGGCCATCCTGCCCCCACTTGAGACATAGAGTAGACACCGCTGCTGGCCTGCCACACACTCCAGCCCTTCTTTAGAGCCATGCCCTGACAGCTACTCTCCAGAAGTTGGCTCTAGTACTGGGGTAGAAAAATGTTCTTCTTCCCTAGACCAGGAGACGCTATCAGGTCAGAAACGTCATGCAAGACAACAATTGCATTTAATGTGATACACGAATGTCCTCTAGGTTATCCTGCCTCTGACGGCATCTCTTGTGACGTCAAGTCGATGAAATT